AGGAGAATTTACTTATAATATATAAAAAGTGTCCAAAGAAGCAAAATAACTTGAGATGGAAAACTAATGAAGTTAGCTCATTTCCAATAATAAAATTTCCATAATTTTTAATAAAGATATAGAATCAACAAATCCCCAAAACTGATCTGATCAGCTTTTGCCTATACTCAGAATTATCTTGCATTTTAACAGCCTAGAAGCATTTCTGAAAGCTATGGAAAAACAACAAAAAAACTACATATTTATTGCAATAGGTTAACAGCTCTCAGCAAGAGGAATGAACTGCATTTTGATAAACTCTGTAGTATTTCTGAAGTATAAGATTACAAGCCACTGAGAAAATAGAATAATTAGTTTTCACACTACACTGATTTTTATATGAAGGTATTGCTTATGTTTATTGAAAAAGGAACAAAACTACCTCCATGGGATATGTTCAATTAACTTCTAAGATAAATTGTATTTGCTTCCTAAAATAATTTCCTGTGGGGATGTGACACAGAAATCACAATATTATTTTCATGAGAAATGATGTATACTTTCTATATAAAACAAGTCTTGGTACCTGTTACGTACGTTCAGCCTACAAATGTTGTCTTATATGCTATGTATTGCTGAGTCTATCATTCATTTAAATATTTGATTTTAATAAAAATTGTGCTTTAAAGCTCAATTGTCTCTATTTAAAAACCTTAGAATAATTTTTCCTTACTATAAAGCAGTGTATGCTCATATAGAGAAAACAATTAAAAAATTGAAAAGCAAAACAAAATCTTTAACAAGGCTAAGGTTGTTACTCACATATTACTGTCTCAGTGAGGCCTTCTCTGATAATATTATTTGAAGCTGATGCACAAAACACTCCGAACTCCCAATCCTCCTTTTCACTATTATTTTTCTCCACAGCATTTTAACTACCTGGTATTCATTCTTTGTTTTCTTTTTTCTCTTCCTTTCTTTCTTCCTTTCCTTCTCTCCTTCCTTCTTTCTTTCTTTCCTTCTTTTGTTCTCTTTTTCTCTCTTTCTTTCATCTATCACTCTATTGACCTATTTCTTCATTCATTTATTCAATGTCTCTTACACCTGAAATTAAGCTCTATGGAACAATAATGTTCATATTTTGTTCACTGCTGTATCACCAGTCCCTGGAACAGTGCTTAATACATTAAAGGCTCTTGGTGCATATTCGTTAAATGATTGATCAAACGAATCCTATCTTGTTACCAGGTTTAAAAAATATATACCATTTTAACATTTTTCATAGGACTCTATTCAGGTGATGTATTAGAATTAACTAAACTCCATTTTTCTTTCATTTAGGACATTTAAACCTTTTTGTTATTAGTGTTCTTTGAAAAATATGCTTCATGCTTAAATTTGGAGTATATCATCGTTTCTTTAGGGTAATCCCAGAAGTAGAATTTTAGGACTAAATGGCATGTATAGTTGAAACATTCTGCCAGTCTACCCTTGAGAATCACTGATATCAATTTATACTTCTACCACAACATATAATCCCCAATTTTCCACACTCTCAATATTTTCATTCATTTTCTTTTTAAATTTGCTGAGTTTTTCCCTTCTCTAAATGTCCAAAAACAGGTCAATATGAGAGATAAAGTAATGTTTAAGTCCTTTTCCACTTCAGAATTTTACTGTACCTGAGCTAGACCAATCACAAAGTCATTTACATATCCATGAATTAAAACTTGGGGCAATAAGAGTAGATTGCTTTACAATGAGATACACCTCATTTAATAAGTTCTTCATTAAATGACTCTAATTTGTTTTTATTGGTTACACAACATTTAACGGCATATAGTATACTGATTGCAAATATACTATTTCCCTCTTTAATTCAGACTAATGAAAATTAGTTTTATCCTTCTTAAATATATGCAGTCAAAGAAAAGATTTCATTTATGAATGAAACAAAGCCACTTCCATATTGTTAATAAAAGTTCTAAAACAATTTGAAATAAATACATGGCTATAAAATGTTTAGTGATTGAATGAATGTCCTATAAGTTTGAGTCCCACGAGAAAAATATTATTCATATCAACCAAACTCATAATTCATAATATATCATTTATCAACCTCAGTTATTAACAGTTTTACCTACAAATGTAAGATATCTAGTAATCAATTTTAATTTGCCAATTATTCTGTTTATAGGTAGAAAGATAACAATATACATGTTCTTTAAGTTTTATAAGGCAAAACAATCAATTCTTCATAGTAAAGTCATGACTCAATAACAAATATGCATATCACGCTCTATAAACTAATTCAAACAATCTTATAGTTATATTTATGTGTATATGTATATACACACATAATAACAAAAAATAATTTTATCTGGCTTATAAAGAATTTGACATACAACCCAGAAAAGTCCTTCCCATTGGTATTAAGGTATAAGAAAATTACCAATGTTTAAATGACAACAGGGTTATAAAACCACTTTTTTATTATTTTATTTCTTAGAAGATGTAATATTAAAGGATATCATTCATAAGATAAACATTAACACAAAGCATATAACCAATAGAACTATCATCACTCTAACTTTTGATTATATAACGATGATTTTTTTTTAAAAATCAAAAGACTTAACATATCACTCATCCCCAGCAAAAGTCAGAAGGTATCAAGAATTGTAAATATAAAGGGGCTATTCTCATTTTAGAGAAAAAAGCCATATTAGTTGGTCTATATAAAAAAAGAATCAAGAATTCTTTGTCATATTGATCAATAAAAAACCTAAGTAAAAATTAACAAAAAATGAAGAATCTATTTAGAGAGTTGATAGCATCACACCTAAATATCTCTTCCTTGATTAGATCAATGTAACAAAGCTCGGACAAATAGAAATTAATCTTCAATTACCAAAATGAAGCATGGATATTAATCAAATTGATACTGGTTGCCTATTAAACCTATGTTAGAGGCATATTTTAGACTGTATACCTTAAGATCGAAGATTAAATTTAAAAGAATGAACAATTATATCATTACAACAATATCTACACAGGTCAGAGGAAATAAAATTTTAAATATCATGGCATCAGATAACAGCTTCAGGAATCTATATTTTTTTCCTAATGTGTTGATTATAGAGGCGTGTGGGATTTCTGCTGTAATTTCTTTGAAGTAGTGACTACTTTAAGATGCAGGATGGAAAATTTGATGGATTACTGGTTTAATCAATATGATAAACTCTTAATTTAGGAAGCTAGCTACTCTGCAGTTGTAATAGTGACTTTGACAGTCACTATGTCTTTGACTTCCAAATAATAACTGTCTTCATAATGAAGATATTGCCCTTTCCCAAATTCTTTCAGAAGCTAGTGTTGGCTTGACATTAAGAAGAAACATGTTTCATATTATAATAAAATTTTGTACTTCTAAGAAGCTTCAGAGGTTCTGAAAATGACTTTGAAATATAGTCTTATTAATCTTTAGTATTCTCATGAGAGCTAAGTAGGTGGCAAATATTATCTCAATTTTGTAAAATAGAAACTAATGAAACAATTAGTGAATTTACTTACCCTAGGCTAATATTGAAGCAAAGAAAAGTCACAGTGCAATCCTGGCACTTAACTGAAATTCTTATTATTCATTCCATCTTCCTCTTTTTGCTTGAGGAAGATTGTCACTGAGCTAACATCTGTGCCAATCTTCCTCTATTTTTATGTGGGACACTGCCACAGCATGGCTTGACCAGCAGTGCTAGGTCCACGGCCAGGACCCAAACCTGCGAACCCCAGGTTGCTGAAGCAGAGCACTCAAATTTAACCACTACGCCACCAGACCGCATCTACAATAATTTTTATGGAGAGCAGAGAGAAAAAAATCTTCAGAAAATATGAAGATCAACATAATCCCCTTCAAGAGCCTCTGAAATGGCTATTTGTAATTTGAATGATTGTGTTGGTGATGGTGACAGTGATAGTAACAGAACTTCAAAGAATTAATTTCCCTGCACCACTTCTGAGTGACCACACACTGAGTGTGGTCAGAGAGACACTAAACGTGCTTGAATTGTACTTTATAACAAAACTAAAACCTGACGAAATCAACCATGGTAGAATAACTCAAAAAAAAGAAAATAAGAAAAGTTAAGTTTTGACTCAAAACAGACCTTTCAGTTGACAATATGCTTGATTCTTGAAAGACAATAAAAGACAAAGCAAGCCTCTGTGGATCTCAGGGTCTGCAGGTATTCTGATTTGCTTGACAGGTTGTATTCTCCTGCTTTGGTTTTTCATTAAAAACTGTTGAAAGAGTTTCTCCATTTTGTGTTCTTTTTTCCTCTTCATATTCTCATAAAGATTCATTACAACAGTTTGGTTATCTAGTGTCAACAAATTTGTAAATTACTGCTGAAAACCATTGTTCCTATTCTCTATCTGGTTTTCCTGTGTGAAATAACATACTTACCAATTTACCTTTATTGCCAGAGAAAGTTGCTGCATCCATTTTTAGTCCAAGAACACTATCACCAGTAGGTGAACTAATCCCAATTTTAAAAGTCAAAATTATTTTTGGAATTTTAACCCCCCCAAATAAATGTTTATCTTTTCATATAGCTTCTTTCTTGATACTTGAGAAAAATTACAATGATTCCATGAGACATGCATGATGTGTAACTTGTCCATGACTGATCTTCCAAACCAGGGTAGAGTGCCTTTCTCCTCCAGCAGCTCTAGCATGTTAAGAGTGTGAGGTTTTTCTCCAATGGAAGATGACTTCATCAGCTTTAGTAAAATTGGTAAGATTGTCTTTGGTAAAATTAAAAGTCATAAAACTCCAAACAAATCATCTTACCGTTGAAAAAAGTCTAACAACTTTCATGGAATAAGTGAGGAGTTTTTTTTGCCCTACACACTTAAAAGAGGCTTGGTAAATGTAAATGTATGTTTACAATCATCTATTTTAATACGCCAATCTTAGATTTTTTTTTCCCCATAGCCGTAAAAGGAGAGTCCATACTTACCTGGCCCATCAGTCATTGTGTCCAGGCCACGAGGAGTTGTGCTAAGAAAGGAGGCATGTTTTATTTTAGCCATGAAACTACGAGGTGGCATGTATTTATGTTGAATTTGGGACATCTCATAGGATTTTTGAACATCATAGCTGCCTGGTGCTGGAATTTCCTGAAAAAATTTCAAAGGATGAGCACAAACATATCTTACATAGAAAATACCCAAGAAAATATAGTATAAATGTTCACACTAAGCAATGGAATAAGTAGAAAAATATGAAAATTTTCTGTAATAAATCATTAAAAATAGAAATTTAAAAGAGTTTCCCTAAATCTATGCCCTCCTAATTACAGTGTAAATTCACTTGTCAAAATTTAAGGTAAAATAAACAGAATTATGAAATTTAGGTCCACATTCTGAAAAAATAATAGCCTTCATTATATAGATCCAACTCTCATTTTCAAATTTCATATAAGATTGAGAGAAACGATTGCTTTCATAAGCAGCAAAACTATTCCTGCTTTACTGTTCTATGTGAGCATACTGTATTCTACAAGTGAGTCCGCTCATTTCAATTTTTAATAGATTCCAATTAAGTTAAAAGGCTTCCCCTTTCATCATTTATGGCTCTTTATATGCTCCACAGTTACATTAACAATTTTAATCAACATAAACCACATGGATATTAATAACTACAATAATAATTCCAAACTAAATTAAACATAAAATATCACATATCTGTTGCACAATTAATGACATAAACCATTAGCTAATCATCTCAAGGAAAATTTTTTAAAATTTGTTTTCCTCAAATTATTTTAAAATATAACATATCGTATATAACATATCTGTTTATGCGTATTATGTATAAAGACCAAACTTTTTAAGTTTTAATGATTTTCTTGTAGGCAGGAGACTATTGTGATTAAGGGTGTGGACTCTGGCACTAGACTTCTTGGGATCCAAATATCAACTCCTTACTTCCTGTGGGACCCTAGGCAAGCCGCTTAACCCCTGTCATCCTCAGTTTCCTCATCTGCAAGTGGGGAAAATGAGAGTATTTATGTCATATGTCAGGGCTGTTGTGAGGAGTAAATGAATTAAAACAAGTAAAATATTTAAATTGGTACCTGATTCTATAAAAGCGTTAGCTAATCTTACTATTCTACAAAAGCTAATTTCAATGCAAAAAACAAGACTGAACAATCAGGATTTGGGCTAATAGGGAAGTATTTTAATGTTTCAAATAAGTCAAACAAATCTGGATACTGAGAAAGCATACTTTTGAAGTCCATCTAGGAGCCGTACTTTATAAAACATACTTTCTCTTGTTTCTTATATTCCTATCATCACCCTCACGCATATGCCAACAACATTATCTTCCATTTCCAAAGGATTGCTAAATATGGTAAGAGTACAATCATGAGTAGGAGAGGAGATTCTTACACAAAACCCCATATTTCTGGTTTAAGTCCTGAGTCAAGCACTAAATGTCACAATGGATAAGTCAACTAAAAAACCTTAGCAGTTGTTTTCTTCTTGCCTGCATCGAGTATATTTTCTAAGGATAGGCCGAGGAGAAGCGATAATAGCAGTAATTCCAAAGATGACTTTTGGATCTTTTTGGACTGCTTCTGTGGTATGTGAAAGGAAAGTACAAGAGAGTGCTAAAGCACAGACATTGTGAGTGCACAATATACCCCGACTATTTAGAGAAGTTTTGCAAAGTTCTTCATGGTCCCTACTATACATTTTCATTTTCTTATGAGAAGCTATTACTGTTCCTGTTTCCTTAACACCCCGCTTGGTGTCACCATCTATTCTTTCTTCCAGTGCCTAGCCTAGATGTGACTGATGGATTTGGCTACTGCCACACAGGAAACTTTTATTTTTTTAAATGCCTTGAAGCAAAGGTAAGAAACTGCGTCAGTGATCAGTTTTCTTTGACAATAGTGTGTTCCCACCTAGGAAAGTTCATCAAACTAGTTATCCTAAATTTCGATAGATTCACTGGCTTCTCTACCAAGTGAAAATATACTACCCTTGTTCATGACCACCTCTTCTTACAGCATATTTATGCCTCTCTGAAAACTTATTCCCTGCTTGTATCCGTTATTGATATTTCTGAGCTCTTCCTACTCATCTTCAATTCTCATTTCATCTGACAAAGCGGTTAATATTTTAAGTAAATTTCCTAGGCTAATGATTAGTAAGACAAATCTGAAATCCCGTCTGGCAGCGCTAAACAATATCGGTATATAGTACATAAACCTGATTTCAGGAGAATAGAGTATGTATAGATAAGATCATCAAATCTCTGTTGATGATCATTTACACATCACAGAAAACAGGAAAGGCACACGATGAGTGGATATAATAGACATTTCTCATGTCCCCTCCCCTCCGTTTTTTTAAACCCAGTATTTGATCTTGTTCCTGTGTTTCGGGAATTCCACATGTTCTACAGCAGGATCTGAGTCCCAGCACAAAAGCTAAAAATGTCAATAATAATTGAAAATAATAATACATAATTGTACAATAATAATTCTAAACTAAAATCTTCCTGGTATATTTTTTAGCTAGGACATGAATCTAGGACATAGGCTTACATGCCAGCCTTTGAACTGGCAGCCAGTTATTCAAAGAAACACAGAGCATTAAAAAGTCCACTCTAGTGAGGGGACTGGCAGTGTAAGCAGCTATGTCCAGCTCCCAGAGGCAACAGGAGAAGAACAAACTGAAAGAGGCAACTAGAGACTGACGAAAAACGTCTTAAAATGTCTGATGAAATAAAAGCCATGCCTCAGTGCAAATTGAAGGTAAGTCTAAGGTTTCCTGACTTCATGTGGAAAACCAGAGCCCAACCTGAAAATGACATAAATAATCATAGAACTGAAATAATTGATGTATGCAAAATTCTTAGAATGGTATCTGATACATAGCAAGCACTGGCGTTTGCTTTCATTGCCATGATCATCATCATCAGTATTATTTCTGTTAGGTGTGGGACCACATGTAACCCTCAGTGATATCGTCCTGGTCTGAAGAGAGATGCCAACTGGATATTTAAAAAGAAAGTCCCTAGTATTTTAGGCCCCAAAAAACAACAAAAAAATCAAAAGTAATTAAGTTGTTGGGAATCACATGAAGACAGTGTCCCATGCATTAAAAAAGAAAAAAAGTCACTAGTTTCAACCAACTTCAAAGGAAAGCAGGTCACCTGTTTACGTTTTGGAAAAACCATTTCACATATTTTGTGATTTGATTCTATGCTATGCAAGTTGAAGTCCCTGCAAATCGCCCCATCTTCAGTACCCCTGCATTAACCACTTAGAACCCAAGGCTAGCTGACCCATAGCCACAGAGACCAGCTCTTGATTTCATCTAAATTCACAATTCTTCCCATCCTTGTTCCCTGTCATTTTAACATGTAAAATTGTATATACCCTCTGACCTGGGACTTGTTAAGTTGCATGTATGCTCTTCCAAAACTCTGATGACCAAACACCCACAGTTAAACACTTTGGCCCCAGCAAGGAATAGAGCATTCAGTCCCTGAGCTGTCTTCCAAGCTGCAACACACTGCAAATGAGGGCTGAACTTGAATTCTAGTCTCAGAATAAATTTTTCTTTACCAAGCTATGCTGGAAAATTTGGGGATGTCTTTATTTCAGATTCATTTTTTAACGATAGTTTCATTGGATATAGACTTCTTGGTTGACTTCTTTTCTGTCAGCATTTTGAATATGTCATCTCACTGATTCCTGGCCTCCACTGTTTCTGATGAGAAGTTCACAGTGAATCCTATCGATTCCACTGAATGCAATCAATTGTTTTTGCTGTCAAGGTGTTCTCTTTGTTTTTGGTTTTCAGCAGTTTGACTATGATGTGTGTAAGTCTGGGTTCTCTTTGTATTTATCCTACTTGCATTTCATTGAGGTTCCTACATTTGTATATTCATGTTTTTCATTAATACTTGGAAAATTTCGGCTACTATTTCTTCAAATGTCTTTCTCTGCCCCTTTCTTTCTCATCTGTCCTTTGGGACTCCATTACGTATACATTGTAATATGTGACACTGACCCAGAGGACTCTGAAACTGCTCATTTTGTTCAATCTTTTTCTCTTTGTTTTTCAGATTCAATGATTTCCATTAAGCTACCTTTTAGTTCACTGATACTGTCTTCTGTCATCTCAAATCTGCTGTTGAGTCCAGTTGGTGAATTTTTCATTACATTATTATCCTTTACAACTTCAGAATTCGTTTTGGGTTCTTTTGTTTGCTGGCTTGCTTATTTGTTTCTATTTTTCTATTGAGATTCTCTCTTGGTTAACTATCAGCATATTTCAATTTCATTATTTAAACATAAATCCCATTAATTCCTTGAAAATATTTATAATAGCTGTTTTGAAGTCTTCATCTGCTAAAGACAATGTCTAGTCTTAACCTGAGTAAGTTTCTCTTGATTGCTTTTTCCCCTGAGTTTACATATTTGTATATCTAATAAGTTTTCATTGAAAACTCGACATTTTTTCATAATATAGCAACTCTGGATTCTGTTTCTCCTTAGTGAAGGTTGTCCATTTCACTTAGGTTTTCAAATGTATTAAAAATTAATTGTATGTTCATTGCTTCTAGAATGTGGAGTGGTGTCCTTCTTTACCTTTTTGATACTTATTATGTACGTCATTTTTTCTTGATCAGTAACATCACTGGATGGTCAACTTTATTCTGTCTTTTAAGGATAGATCTAACAGATAAATAGAATAGAAGAGGTTTATCTTTACTTTTGAATTTGCATGTTTCTCCTGTAATTATATCCATATTAGCTTTGCATATAGGTGGAACTGTGCACACAAATTTAAAATTATCATATTATTCTGGTAAATCAAACTATTAATATTTTGAATAATGGTGACCGTTTATTTCTAAATTGCTTTCTGTCTTAACGTATTTTATTTGTAATTAAAATAGCTACTTCCACCAATGAGTAGGTTTTCGTAAACTATTGTTACCTTTCCAAAATGGTAAAATGTTAAAATAATATTTTTAAAGATATCAGAGATCTGTGGGAGCAAAGAGGTCTTTTTGTACTAAATTCTAAAAAGGGAAGAGCCCTTCCTATGTGAGTTGACACTGTAAGCTGCTTTCTTCCATATGGGCATTTCCC